TTTGTGTGTTTTGTTTGTTTAAATCCCGGAGGGTTAGTTAAACTTGTAAGCAAGGATGTCAGTTAATCTCAAAAACAGTTGACATGAAACACAAACTGTACAGGGACACATCATGCTCAATTTAAGCGCGTTCTGCTTTGCATTTTTGCTCTTTTATAACTTCTTTTCTGACACTTGGATCTTTCCAGCAAGCAAATGTTAAAGAGTTCCTCATGCTCCCTCTACAGTGAAGCAATGGCTCCGCACAAGAGCCCCAGGGATTGTTTTCCAGACGGGGATCTGAGGTGAAGCCTCACTGCCATCTCTTGTTTGGCTTCTTGGGCTTCATCGAGAGCGTGAGTGAAAACTGTTCCAGCCCCAGAGCACCCTCAGCTGTACCATAACACCATGACAAGCCCTGGAGAAGACTTTTGCTCTATAATAATCTTCCTGTCCAAAAGGGAGGAAAAAGGGAAGGAAAAATCATCCTTTCCACAGCACCAAATTCAGGCTGGCTTAGCTGCCTCACTCATTCTAAGCTTCCTGCTGCCAGCACAAAGGCTAAAGGGCTTAATTTAACACCATTTACTGCTCTGAGACACCTGGACTGTGCTGCAAAGCCCAGTTTGGAGCAAAACACCACAAAAGCTGGACAGGCAGATCTCAAAACAGCAGCTCTCTTCTCGTGAGCAGCTTGAACAGAGCTTCACTCACAGACCCAAGAGCCAAAACCTGTGTCAGAGGGCAGATGTGAGCAGGCCATTGCTTCAGGATACAGGGAGCCAGCAAGCAAACACACAAATATATCCATTGACACATGTATACACACTTATAGAACACATACACGTATATCTGTGAATGACAGAGGCAATAGGATGTGCTTCCAGCCCTCCCTACCCAGCAGAACAAGGATAGGGACTGATGGGAGTGCTGGTGGATGTGAACAGGGAGTGGGTCCTGAAGGTCTCCCAGCTCAGGAGAGGGGCTGCATGATGCAGTCCCCTTCCACTGGGAAGAGCAACTGGATTCAGCCACTGCTGAGGCAAAAACCTTTGCTAGATCCCAAGATCCACGAGACCACATGGGGAAACATCCCCCACCTTCCTGCATCTCCAGCTTGCAGGCAGCCTGGGAGATGGAGCCCTCTGAGGTTCCAGGCCTGAGAGGACATTCCTCAAAGGACACAGATTTCCTAAGAGGATGATTTCCAGCTCAGAATTCCATCTACACCCCTGCTCACCGAGTACGAACGAGTCAACCCTGTGCAGAGGGCAGAGCTCTGATGAAAACCAAAGGGCAACTCTCATACTGACATGGAAGGCAGCAGGAAAAGGCTCCTGCTTAGCTTCCAGGGACCACCAGCCTGGATGCTTCAGGTAACCACGGATGGAAGTAAGAAACCAGGTGCAGGTAAGACAGGTGATGGGCTGTGAGTGGCCAGAGGCTGTGAGCCACAGGGCTGAGCAGGGAGCAGTACCTTGTGCTCTGTCTCCTGAGCCAGTTGGCTCTGGAGCTGCTGGAGCTGCTCCGTGGAGTTGCTGCAGAGAGCCTGGTAGGTCTCCTTCAAAGCACCAATCTGAGCAGAAATCTGATCCTTTTCTGGTTGGGAAAGCCTGTAAGGGGAAGGGGAGATCTCTCAGGCTACTGCACAAACCAGCTGCACAGAGTTACCATGCACCTCTGGGAAAGGAAAAAGTCAAACCCACCACAAGTCCCATCTTCTCCCTGCCCTACTCCTTCCCCAGCTCAGCTAAAACCTGCAAGGATAACTGAGCAAAGGCTGAACCTGCACTGTAACAATCAGATCCCCAAATATATGGGGCTGGATCACTAATAAAGGGGATTAATATTGTCCCAACTGCATAAATAGGTTGTATGTTTCATAGATCTCATTGCAGATCAGAAAGAAGACAACTGCCATGTGCAGATCATCTTTGTTTTTAACTGGAGTCAGGCACTGGACCCATCAGTTCCAGCTCTGAGGAATCTCATCTCCCCTCCCTGCTCCCCCTGCCTGTCCCCTGTCCTCTCCATGGGTCACACTCACTTGTGGCTGTGTTTTGCCAGGAAGATTTGGGAAGTTTTGATGGCCTCAGAGACCTGCTCCTTCTTTGCACTCAGCTCCTCATTCAGGGCCTGGCAAAAAAAAGAATAAAAAAGAAAGATTAATCCAGTTGTGGAAACATAGCAGAAGTTAAACCTCAATGCCTGCTGTGGCCCCTGCCTTACCTGCTGCTCTGAGATGGATTTCTCAATGTCACCCAGCTCTCTGCTCCCAGCACCAGCTGTCCTGCCTTGCACACTCTGCTTCAAGCCCAGGGCCCAGCCCAGGAGCTCCTTCACCTTGTCCACATGCTCCTGCTTCTCCTCCTCCACCACTTTCTGCAAACAGAGGAGGGAGGAAGACAACCACGTCAAAGGGAACCTCCAAAGAGGGAGAACTCTCAGGAGCAGTGCCCGAGGTGTAACCTCCACATGGAGCAGCATCCTTAGGGGTGGAGAGAATGAGCCTGCACACCCTGAGGAGTTCAGCCCCAGAAAATCTCCTCACCTCCTCCTCCTCCAGCCGCCGCAGCGCATCGCTGATGTACTTGACGTGCTGCGTGGTTAAGGTCACCAGAGCTGTGTAACGAGTCCTCAAATCCATGAACTGCAGAGGGAGAGAGGAGGGAACAGGGTGTGTCAGTCCCACCGGTGGAGCCAGAGCGATGTACTCTACAGTACATGACATGGATGCAGCACCTCTGGCTTGGGAACCCCCCAGGCACCTGGCAGACCCGGGAAGGCATCGATGGAATGCAGCGAGTCTGATGGGGAGGGTTGTGGCCACACATGGCATGCTGCACAACACTGGAGCGAGGGGAGACTCCGGTCACGGACACTGGGGCGGATGCTCAACTCTTACAGAGGGCTACTGGGATCTTTAATATCCACACAGAGCAGACAGGACCTCGGGTCCCTAAAGGTCTCATCCCAAAGATCCACACACAGTAACACTGCATGGTGCTCTGGTTATTTACCTCGCAAGGCTTGAAGGGCTGAGCCGACCCCGCTGGATTTGACCCAGGGGTTCCCAGGGGTTCCCAGGAGTCTAGGTATGTCATACCTGGTGCTTAGAGCACTAAGCCATCCTCTCTGGCTATTGGAAAAAACAGCGAGGGTGGAAACTTTATTTATACAAGAGAGTTCAGCAGAAAGGAAGCTCATTTCAGAGGCTGCTCGGCGGTTTGCTCGGTGTTGAAGGACACCCCCCACACCATTTCTCCTCCCTGCTGAGGTTGGGCAGGTGGCTGTGCTCCTACCTCCTGTGTGATGGCATCAGAGGACGAGAGCATTCGCCGGCGTTTCATGGGAGATTTCTGCTGCGACTCCACGAACGCTCTGTACGTCATCAGCTGCAACTCATAGTCCTGAAAACACAGCCAGGGGTGGGCACACATGGAGCATGTGGGGTGCAAGATGTGCCAGGGATGTTTCTGCCCAGCCAGAGCCTTATCCAGGTGTAGGAGGGGAACTGTACCTTGACAGCAGCTGAGTATTGCTGGGAGAATTTCTGACACTGGTCCAGTTTGGCTTGATTTTTCTCAATTTCGGCAGCCAAAGCCTTCAACAAAATTCAAAGCAAAAAATGATTGTCAGTCCGGAGAAGTTGTGGCTACCCCATCCCTGAAATTGTTACAGAAATTCAAAGCAAAAAATGATTGTCAGTACATGGTTCTCCTCTGGAGAAGCTGTGGCTACCCCATCCCTGAAATTATCACAGACAGGCTGGATGTGGCCCTGAGCAACCTGGTCTAGTGGGAGATATCCCTGACCACTGCAGGGGGTTGGAACCAGATGAGCTTTATCAAGCCAGTCTCAGGTTCTATGACAGCTGCTGTGAGCTTTAAAGTCCCTTCCAACTCAAGCCAGTCTCGGGTTCTATGAGAGCTGCCGTGGGGGATGAGCTGAATTCTGGTTCCCATCCCTCCACTTTTTGGGTAAATTCTTTACAGTCTTCAATTATTCACGCAAGACCTCATCTTCACCTCAAGCTAAACAGAGTTTCTCCATGTCCCAGACACCCAGCTCAGGCCTGGAGCCTCTTCCCTGCTGCATTTCCTATTTTCAAGCTCACAGCTGAAAAGAAGTGACAACTGTCAGTGCAGCAGCCACACTGAGACATCCCGAGGTCCTGCCTCACCGTTTGCTGGCTGAGCTGCTCTGACAGCACTCGGCTGTCCTCTGCCTGCCCTGGCTTCATCAGCTCCTGCTGGACTGTGATCTCCTCGATCCACTGGATCAGGGCACTGTGGCACTGTCGGTAATCACTCAGCACCTCCTGGATGCTCTCCAGCTCCGTGTGCCTGAGAGAAGAACCAAGACGAGTCAGGGTGAAATGTCATATGGAAAAAATCTCCCTGCTAACGAGCAGCTCTCAGCTGAGGCATGACAGGCAGTCAGAGAGGAGGCAGAGGTGTCTCACCGGGTCTCAATCTGGGTGCAGACGCGCTGCCATCGGTCCCACAGCTGGCTGCTCTTCTCCTGGTAGCGCTCCAGGTCGATGCTGCGCTCCTGGCGCAGCCGGTACAGCTGCTCTCCCACTTCCTTTGCCTTTGCCATCTCCTCCTCCAATTTGGAAAAGACAGAGCCCCTGTCCTTCACTTCCCCAAGCCATTGCTGCAAAACCAGCAAGAGACAGCGTTGGTCAGCGTCACCGAAAGCAGAAGGGATGTTGAGTCAGAGTGACCTCCTGCCCAGAGCTGAGAAGCCTGAAAAGGGGTTAATAAATTTATTTCCCCACTCTTCTTAACCTGCAATGAACTGGGAGGTGTAAAATGAAGAGGACTGTGTTCCCAAGTCAGATTGGTTCAGTCCTAGAGCAGCAGGATGTGTAGCTGCCAAGTTGCTCATGTGTGTCAGCATGTGCTCTATAAGACAGCCACAGCAGTTCCTTCACCTTTAAAAAGTAATAAGGGATCTCATAAGCAGCACAAAATCCTCCTGAGGCGAGAAAAATGTCCCACAGTCCAAATTCAGCAAAGAAAGGGAAGGACACTGCTTGACAAACCAATGGCACCAACCTGTAATGCTGCCCTGTGAGTCTGAACGGCTGACAGGTCAGCAGGCACCGCGGCTCAGCTTCACTTCATACCCTTTGACCAGGGATTCTGCTCCTTGGGTGCTCCGGATAATGATATCAACCGTCTTCAACCTGCCAAACCAAACAGAGCCAGCACAATGACATCCCAAATTTGATCACCAGGGTGTTCGCAGCACACGCCGCAGAGCATCGAGCTCAGTTATGGTCCAGCACAGTTGGAAGGACAGACGAAAGGTCTTTGGTGAATTGGGCAAGTCAGAAAGGTGTTTGGGAACAGAAGCACATCCTGACTCACTTCTCCAAGTAGATGGAAGACAGCCCATGTGTCTGGTCCATCTTGTTGACCACCAAGTCCAGCTCAGAACGCAACTGGGGCGTGCTGGGCCCCGCGGGCGCCTTGTTGAGGAAGCTGTAGCATCTCTCCGACACAAACCGCAGGTCTGACTGCAGGTGCTGCAGATCCTCCTGCATGCGCTGCAGGGAGAGGGAGAGAACGTGAGTGGAGAGCACAAACAGGCAGAGAAAAAGCAGAATCACCCTTGGCAAAGGAGGTGGCAGGAAATGAGCCCACCTGGAGAGGATTCCTGCAGCAGGATCCCCTCAAACCCTGCACAGCCACGCACCCATCACCCACACATTCACTCCAGAGAAGCTCCAGCTATTTTTGGATCAGTGGTCACCATCACCTCCCTCCCCATCTCCCAGCAGCAGGGCTGACCTCCTGCTCTGCAATGCGGATGGTGTTTTCCTGGATAGTGTCACCATCTGCTCGGGCACTGCTCGGGGACTGGATCCTGCTCACGAGCCTCTGCTCACACTCCTCCAGACGCAGGCGGATGTTCTTGAGCTCGGAGAGATACGTCCTGGCAACTGTCTCATCCTTGTCTTCTGCGAGTCAGAGACAAAGAAAAACAGCAGCTCAAACACCCTTGGCCAGTGTCTGCCCCAAATGGGACCTGCCTGGAGCCCTGGAGCTGAGCATACTGACACCAGGGTCTCTGCTCAGATGGAAAACAAGTTAATTAAATCATCTCATTCAAGTGCAGCTGAGAATGAGTCCAGCCACAGGGCATCTCGTGTGATGAAGTCCTCAGTTCTGGTGGGACTAACAGTGTCACAAGTGTCACCACCACATATATCTTCCCAAAGACTAAATGCAGCAAGAACTCCTTGCTTGGGATTCATCCTGAGAATTAAACTCATCGCCAAAAATAGCAGGGTAAGAGGGCTCAGCAGTTAAGCTGAAGCTGCAGAGCCAAGGCCTCTCTGCAGGAATATTGCTGGACAAAGGCCGAACACTTGGATGGATGGAGAAATAAGGAGAGCAGCTGCTCACACCATCAACCAGCTCGGGAAAAGAACATGAAGACATCCCATAAATCCTTTGTTTATGAGTTCCCACAGCTCCTGGTTAAACCATCAGCCCTTTGAAGCTCACCGTTCTCCATGGACTCCAGCAGCTGTCGGATGTGTTCCTTGGAAGACTCCACTTCCTCCTCCAGGCGCAGTCGGTCCGACACGGAGAAGAGCTCTGAGTCCCGACTGTCCTGCAGGAAATCCTCGTAGTGTGCCTCGAGGCTCTTCAGGGCTTGCTGGCACTCCCCTTGAGCCAAGGATCTGAGCTGCAAGTGGAAAAGCAGCAGAGCCAAACATCAGGAATGACCTCCTGCACATCACCCGCAGCCACCATCCCCACCTGAACCACCTTCATTTGCCAAGTGAGTGTTTTCAGGGGAGAAAAGGCAAATCCTCCACATGAGCCCAATGAAACACCCAATCCACAATCTCTCATGCTTGTTACAGCTCAGAAAACTGCTGATGCTCTTTTTATTGGGGAAAACTGCAATCCTTCTGCCCAGCTAAGGTTTTGCCACTGTTCAACGTGTAAAGACTCTTGGCTTCCCCAAACTCATACTCTCTGGTCTTCCCTCTCTCCTCAGCCACACAAAGAAGCCCAGACAGAGAGCAATGCAACCCTGGAGCCAGACAGGGAAGCTCTTCATACCTTTTCCATGCTGAAGCTTTGCACTAGAGCTATGTCCTTCCTCAGGTAGTTCCAGGAGATGAGGCTCTTTGTGTTCATGTGGAGCTGGTGCCAGAGAGCCATCACTTTCTGGTACAACTGTTCTACCCTGCAAGGGGAAGGAGCAGATCTATCAGCCCTGGATCCTCTCAGCACACCCAGCCCTGACCCCATTAATCCTCCAGCCATCGCTACCAGGCAGCAGCACATCAATCCAGTGATCCCAGTCTGGCAGCCATCAGGGAGTAATGCTCCTGCTGTTCAGTGCCAGGCATCCCTGGGGGGATCCCTCCTCCCAAATTGTCATTTTTCCTTTTGTAAGCCACTAGAGCAGTTGTTGCAATGGAGCTTGCAGCTGTAGAGCCAGGAGGGATTCCTCTCCTCACCACAAATCAGCTGTGCCACCCACTCCTGTCCATCCACCCCAGTTCCTTTCCCATTCCCACCCCACCTCCCTGGCCTTTGCACCTCTGTGACTGCCTCACAGCAGAGACCACCAAGTTACCTGCTGGCCATCTCGATGGCCTCTTTGTTGGGTGGGGGGATCAGGAAGCAGACAGAAGGCACCATGGCCTCATTCCCTGTGGGGCTTATCACCTTCCACTTGGTCCTCTGGGAATTGTCCTCCAGGACACACTCGTCATTCCTGCAGATGGTGATCTGCAGAGGCACCAACATCACCAGCCCATCAGAAAGCAGCAGCAGGGCTGGGCACGCCTGCCCTCGCTGCCAGGCTCCCTGCTGGGGGTGAGCCAGCTCCCAGAAATACACAGATAGATATATTTTAATCAAGCAAAAGCCTGGAATAGTGCCAAGCAGTGCAGTGTCTGGAGAGGAAGGGACAAGGAAGTTAGACAGAGCTGGCTGCCACCCACGTGCCTGTTTGGCTGAGGTTGATGAAGTCTGTCCTCCTGGAGAGCAAAGGACTTCAACTCCTGCCCAGAATAAATCTGAGACAGGGAAATCTGCTCCAGGAAAAACAGCCCTGTTATTTCCCTCCTTCTGTCTTCCCACTCTATTCTTTCTTTCCATTGACAGATACTAGGGAGCTCATCCTAAACCATCACTTCCCTGCCTTGTCCCTTTCCAAGTTCCAGTGACAGCCTCTCAGCCCTCACCTCGATCTGCCGATAGTCACAGACAGCCTTGATGGGGATTGTGCTCTTCACGAGGTGCTCTGGGTTCCTGGGCCGGAGCTGAACGATGGTTTTGGATCGTCCCACCAGGCTGGCCACAGAGCTCTTGGACTGAATGAGCTGCTCCTTCTCATCCTGGCAGAAACAAGGGTGAAGAGAGGTTGTTCAAGGCTGGGGAGGAGAGGTCTCTCCCAGGTATCTTGGCTCCCCCCACCCCAACTCTGCCCTGAGAGAGCTACACTGGGATCTCAAGGGCTGAATGAACACGTCAGGAGGATCTTGCTGCCCTAGAGGGATGGGAAGAGGGGTCAGGAGATGGAATGGGAGTTTGGATGGGACATTTTCACTACTACTCCCCCTGCCCTGCAAAGCCACATGCACACCTCTGGCTCTTTGGCTGCTAGGACAAGAAAATGTTTCCTTTCCAAAGGGCAAAAGAAAAAAAAAAAAAAGAGAACACAACATACACCCAAATTAAAGCCCCAAGGGGTGTAAGGGGCCAAGAGCAGGACAAGCTCCAGCCCAAAGCCAGGGACGTTTAGTTGCCTGGAGGAGAGACCACAGAAGCATGCTCCCTTCTCTAAAGCAAAGGATGAAGCATGTTTAAACCAATGGCTGGAATGGGATACGATGAATTATGCGGATAAAACATCTCAGGAGAAGAGGCTTGGGGTGGAGTGATCGCACAGGTCTCTGGGTTTGGGGAGAAATTTGCCAGTTGGAGGAGAATGCTGTGTAATTGAGTCCTGTAAGTCCCTGCTGGGTTTGGTGATGGGACCAACCCTGGGGATTGGTGGCAAAGCTCCCCTGGAACAGCCTCCGGCCCCACGGAGACGTGTGCGGATCACGACACTGGCAGCTGGTGTGATTAGTGACAGCTCAGCCCCTTCTGGCTGCAAAGGTTTACACAGGATCCCCAGAAAATGTTCTCCTTCATGCTCGGTACTCTGGGGGTTGGTTAGTGTGCTGACAACAAGTGGAGGATAATTATATGGTTAAAAAGAAAAAAAAAGGAAAAGAATAAATGATTAAATAAACTACCTGTGCCTGTCCCAGGGAGCATGATTGGAAGAAATACAACTTTAACTTATTAGGTAAGAAAGAGTAATATAGCTGAGCTCAGGGCAGCTGCCTCAGTCCTGACATCATGGCCATTCTCCAGCTGCCTGGACCAGCCTCTCCCATCCCAGGCAGTGCCTGCCAGACTCCCAGCGTGTCCGAGCTCACAAACACAGACTCCAGGAGCCAGGCTGGAGGACACACCAGCACAACCTTGAGACCATAACAGAGAGGATGGGGGAGCCTAGCCCAGCTGAGGCACCCACCACAAACACCCCAGTGTCACTGGGGACACACTGGAGATCTTAGTGTGCACTAAGAGCAAAGTCCAAGTGGCCTCCTGCCTCCACACACCCAAACTGTCACCTCCTGCCCTTTCAAAGGCAGCTCAGCAATTAACCCACAGCCCAAATCCTCCCCTGACCCAGGTTTCACACGCCAGCTGATGCTTTGTCCCTTGGGGCCTGTTTATAGGTCGGTTCTTTTCAGGCCAATTCAGAGAAGAAGATGACAGCACGATGGCCTGGCCTCCACTCTCTGCTCTGCTGCAGCTAAGCCAGGCCACGTGTTCAGAGATCAACCCTGGCCCCAGCACAGCCAGGCTGCCCTGGCTCTGCCCCCATCCAGCACGATGGATTAACGTGGGATTTGGGCTGGATAAAGAGCAGGCATTTCTCCACATCCCACCAGCTCCAATGCAAAACCAGGAGCATCCTCCGGGCTCTGCGCGACGCCTTTGTCAGCAGAACTCGACCAGGGTGGCACGATGGGCACTGACAGGGCAGGAGCAGCTCACACATGGAGCTGGGAGCTTGCACAGGCAGCACACACTGCCTGCTCTGCACCCTGAGGACACAGAGGGGCTGGATGGTGCCTTGAAATGACTGACAGATCCAGCTACCATCAGTGGTGGGGTTACCCACAGCCTGCACCCCACTAACACATGCAACAGCTCCAAGGAAAAGCAGAATATTGACCAAGGTAGATAACAAACCATGTGACATCAAACTGTGGGAATAAAGAGCCCAGTTTTCTCTGGGAAGCAAGAGATGTCCCAGGCAATGCTGTTGGACTGGAGTAAGGTCACCCATCGCCCGCTCAGGGTGGTGGGATGCTGGAGAACCCACCATGGAGTCCTGCAGCAGGTCCTCCAGCCGCGTCAGGCTCGTGTTATGGTCACAAGAATACTTCCTTTTGATGGAGTCCTGCAGGTTCCTCAGGTATGTCTCCGACTCCCGAGCGTCGCTGAAGAACTGCAAAGGCAAAAGGGTCACAGAAACCTGCACGAGTCCCCTGAGCACTCAGAGCACACTGCAGGCAGGCAAGGAGCACCCCAACATCTCAACCAGCAGCTGTTCTGGTTTTAGGGCTGCAAGGGCAGGATCATCCCACATGGATGGCCAGAACAACAGGGAAGCTGATCCCTTTTGCCCCAGAGAGACATGGCCAGAGAGCAGCTAAGGAGAAAGGTATACTCAGGAGAAAGCACCCCAAATCCCTCTTCCCTCTCCCCCAAAGGGAACAGCAGTGCAGGAAGCTCATGCAGTGGATGGTGACCAAGGGAATTTGAGCTGCCTCTCCCAAATACCTGAAAGTAGGCAGCGTTCTCCTTCACGTGCTGTTCCACACACAGGCAGAGCTGCTTAATCCACTGCCACTGAGTCTGCACAGCAGCACTGTATGCCTGGGAAACACAGAGCACACAGCCATGGATAATGAGCATTTACAGGCAGGAGGGTCATGGGAAGGACACGGCTACAGCCGTGGGAGGGACACAAATGAGCAAGGTCTGGCTGCAGCCAGGAGGGTTTGATCACAGGCACAAGGAGCAGGAGATGTCAGACCTGAACCACCAATGTCTCCCTGTCCTGCAAACCCACGGGTACATGATGTTGAGGGCTGTGGCAGGCACAGATTTGCTTTTACTCCAGGGAGAAACATGTCCCTGCAGCTCTTTGCTTCACCGCCACAGTATCCCTGGGAGCCTGGATAACTCCAGGGAGACCAAGGCCTCAATGCAGGAAAGGCTCATGCTCTGTGCCTTAATTTAAGGTGGGGATTACTGGGGAATGGCCTTGAGCTTCTCACTGCACTTCCCAAAATAAAACAGCTTTATCACTGCACTGATGCTCTTCTGCCACCACAGAACACTTGGTCAGGCACTGCACTGTGGGCTGAGACAGCAAGTTTCCCAATCCCAGGTGAGATTTGCTGCCAGCTAAATCTCAGGAATCTCGTGGCTCCTCCAGGTGCCCACTCACCTCTACAGTTTGCTTGGCTGGGTGGTTCTCCAGGGACAGCAGCTCAGCTGTGTCCTGGAGGGAGCGGAAGATGTCCTGCTTCTCTTCCAGCTCTGCCGTCAGCTCCTGCACGAAGGACATGAGAAAAATCCAAACCTCACTCAGCCCATGTGTCCAACTGACACAGCATGGAAGCACTGCAGGAAACCCCAGCAGATCCCTGGGAATCCAGCACAGTTTATGGGAGCACCACAGCCCATTCCCAGTGGGATGTCTCCTGTGTGCCAAACACACTGGGCAGATGTAATACAGATACTGGAAACCTGCCCAGGGACCTCTTCAGCTCCAGACAGTGTGCTTGTGGAAAGATGGGAATTTATTTATACTGCTTTAAAGAGGAATCAATTTTCCTCTTTAGCTCAGACTTTATTTCTCCCCCACTAGTTAAATGTGCCTTTAGCTCCGAATTGTGCTAAAAATACATCTTTTGATGCCTTTTTGATTGAAATTCAATTGAACACACGTGGGTTTTTTTCACTTTCTGCTCCGGGGAGAGCTTCCATCAGCTCCATTCATGAGCTACAAGCTCAGTGCTTGGGAGGGAGCATCCAGCCTCTGAGAAATCCAGGTCTGTTGGGAGCTGAAGGTCCCACAGCAGATCAAGAGCAGCAGCAGCACAGCCAAGGGAGCATCCACCCGTCCCACCAACCCACGCACCGAGAAGTAATTCTTCTTGGCTGCAATGTTGGGGTTGTTGTCACTCCAGTCATAGGCCAATTCCTCCTCCTCCTTCTCATTCAGCCAAATCAGCTCAGCAGTGGCACGAGACACAAACCCGTGTAAGCTCTGGAGGTGTCTCAGACGGAAGCTCGAGGTTTCCTGAACACAAGGACATGTGATTCCTCTTCCTTGCTCTGAAGGCAATGGGTTTCTTCCCTCCTCCCTAACCTCACAGCAGGGATGGACCCCACACTCCCTGGGCAGTGCTAGAAACCCACTTGAATCCCACTCACCATCAGCTTGCAGTACTGTGTCTCCAGCTTGCCAAGTGTCTCTGTGTAGCTCGCGCGGAAATTCGCAGACATTTTACCCTGCGGGATGAAAAATGCTCCTGTTACCCAACAATGAGCAGCATCACTTGAAACCCAACACCCAAATCTTTCTCCCCAGCTCTGTGTGAGGAAGAGGAGGTGGAAATGAGAACAGCAACCTCTTGTACTGCATCAATTCAGAAGCTCCATCTGTAAAAACACCTCTGAGTTTTTCAGCGTCAAGGTACCTTTACCCACAAGAGTTAATCCCAGTGTCCCCACTTTCCTGGACACATTGTGCCATGCACAGTGTCACCCAGCCCATGTCACCACACCTCATACATCCTGGCCTCCTTTACACTGGATCCCAGCTCCTCCACGCTGGTATGGATGTGCCTCTGGGTCTCCAGCTGGGATTCCACACTTGGCAGGTCAGTTCCCCACTCTGCCCGCTCCAGTCTCATCTGAAACAGGCCAAGAGGCTCAAGTCAGCACTCCTCACCTGCAGGAGCACGTTCCAGCAGGACACGAGGCCAAGGAAAACTCCTAGGGCACTCCAGAGGGGAAAAACCACCACCCAGTCCTGGTAGAAGATCCTAAGTCAGTGCTCCAACACTGAATGATTTCTGGGATAGCCTACACAAGCTTCACACCTACATAAGCAACTGAATGCATCAGCAGAGATTTGACTCCAGCTTTGAAAGGCTCCTCTGATACCCACTGATCAGCAGGATCACAAGAAAACCTAACTCAAACCAAAAGCATCAGAGCTCTCCAGAAACATTGAACCATCAAGGCAGGAGAAAGCCCAGAGCAGCTTCCTACCTTCCCACATCAGTGTGAGCCACATCACTTACCTGCATCTCCTCCACCCAGGCCAGCAGCTCATACACAAAACGAAGGCTGCCTTCATCTTCAGAGGAGGAGATGGCCACCAGCTCTGCCCTGGTCATGGGTTTCCGGAACCAGGAGGCCGAGGAGGTGTGCAGCCCCTTGGTCAGGGACTCGCCCTTCAAGTGCGTTGTGCTCAGTGTGGACGTGGGCACCAGCTCCAGGGTGGAGAAGTGACCTTTCCTGTACAGGTTAGTGCATTCCAGCCTCAGTGTCACCAGCTCATCTTGCAGCCGCATGATCCTGGGGGAGGAGCGAGCAAGGCACAGGTAAGGAGATGCACACAACCTCCTCTCCTTCCCCAAAACAGAGCAGAGCAGGCCTGTGCAGCCCCTGACCATGTTTCTCCAGCTCACAGCCCTTCTCACCTGAACCCCAGCTCCTCCAGCTGGTAGTAATTCTCATCCCGAAGGATCTGCACATCCACCTGGAGCTGGCGGATGAGTCCCTCACACTCCTGCAGGTACACCACCACGTCGGACTCGTACTGCACCGGCTGACCTGACTCCAGGTGAGCAGCATCCTGCACCAGGAGAGAGGACACTGAGGGCTGGGTCCCCTCAGCCCAGGAACGTGGGCAGGGAGAACACCACAGCAGCCCAACAGCAGCTTTAAGGCTGAAAAGACCTTTTGATCCACAAGTCTAACTTGAGCAGAACATGGATTCATTGCTCATACCACACCCAGGACATCATCCCCTTTAGAAAAACTCCTGCAGATGAACTGAAAGCTTCTAGGGATAGGTGGGATCATAATTTTTAGCTCCCAACTCTTTCAACCAACGTCTCTTTCTCCCAGAACAAAAAACCTCTCTTCAGAAACCTACTCCCTACCCAGGGTCTGCCACCGAGTCTCTTCTGCCAGGCAAATAAAACAGATTCTGGGGGTTTTAAGCTTCATTACAGAACAAGCTTTCCCAGAAGTGCTGTTCTCCTTCACACCAGCACCTCTGCAGATGTTCAGCCTCACTTGCTGTATCCCCAGAGGGCAAGAGTGTTCCCCATCCTCCCTGTCCCCACAGTGATCTATGGATCACCAAATATCCACCACTGCCCCTACAGCACCCCAGGGATAGGCTCAATGGCAGAAGAGAAAGGAAAACTGTCTGGGGGAACACACCACTCCAGGCAGAAGAGAGAGAAAGAGATGGGCATAAAAGAAGAGGCAGAAAAACAAATAAATAAATAACATTAGGAGGAGGAAATATCACCCCCCACTCACAGCCTGTAGCGTGTTCTTAGCCAAAGTGAGTTTTTCTTCACAGCTCAAAGCACCATTCTGGATTTTGTTAGCAATTTGTAGCAGCAGTTCCAGCCTAGAACGACAGAGGGAAATGAGAGAGAGGCTTGGGGTGTCCCTCTGGCCAGGGGAGCAGGGGGTGACCCTTCCATGGGCACAGCACTGACCTCTCCACCGCTGGTCGCAGGAGTTTCTCACGCTCCAGCATCTCTATGATGAGTTTGCCCCACTCCTCCTCCACATCGTTGGGGTGGTAGCCCTGGGGCAACTTGATTCGTCCAAATTCAATCCATACCTGGGCAAAACATCAACAGAATGGCATTTCTCACCACTTCCTTGAGCTGGGTAGGGATTATAGCAAGGCAAGTCAGGCTATAAGGCACCAGCTCTGCCTCCACTCCCTCCCTGTACATCATTTACCCCGAGGGTTATTTCCACTTTTCCATACCAAAATAAACCTGAGCTGAGCAGACTTGAGTCTTGCTGAAAGCACAACAGTCCCACCCACAAGCCTCCAGGCAACCTTACCTCTAGGAGTTTGTAGAGCTCCTCTATCCTTCCTTTTTCCTGCTCTTTCGTTGGGATTTCAGTTTCTTTGAAGTGTATGTACTGGTTATAAAGTGCCTGGGATGAGAAAAAGGCTCATCAGGAACTACCTTGAGGAATACCACCACCCCTCCCTTTGTGCCAAGCACACAGGACACTGCAGAAGGACCTTGTCCAGGACCTACCTTTAGCTCTACAGGGTTCTGGGGGAAGGATTTGTCTGACATGAGTATCGTGTGCTGCTTGATCCATGAGATGAGGGACTCTACACGGCTCTGGTACTCCAGCCACCTCGAATCCACCTCCTGTGGGGTAAGAGCATCCTTGTAGAGCACTACTGGCAGGCAGGTCTCCATGGGGAAAAGGGAGAGCCCAGCCCTGCCAAGCAGAGCACGGAGGGAACTGAGGTGCCACGGTCAAGCTATAGGGTGGGACGTGGGCCAGGGCCTCCCTGCTCTGATGCCATCCCAGGTACAGAGAGGAGGAGGATCCTCCTTGCAAGCTGCTGGCTGGAAGTCAGTTCAGCTTTCCCACGAGCTCAAAACCCACGGAAGAACCTGGACAATGCTGCAGCCCTACAGGCACACCAGCAGGTCACAAGCAGACACATTAATGGGGAAGCTCCTTCCTCCTCCCAAGCCTCTTCCACACATTAGCCATCTGCTACAGGGAATGAGGAACCTCCCAACCCTTCCCACACCAACCAGCTGCCTCCCAAACTGCTGTCCCAGCCTCCCAGCCCACAGCGATGCTTACGATAGCGCTGATCCCTTCTCCTCCCTCAGGGACTTTGGGAAAGGCATCGTAGATTGAAGACACATAAGTTATGACGGATTTCTCATCCGGAGAGGGGACGTCCACATCTGAGAAGAGGGGAGCAGAAAGGCAGTGAGGAACAGCAGGGACAGAGAAGTTGGCACCTCCCCATGCCAGCCACCAAGCTTGGCTGCCCACCTTCAGCATCCAGCAGCCGTGTGACCCCCAGCCGCTCGGCGATCTCGAAGGCCTGTTCCAGGTTCTCCCGGTTGCTCTGGATCTGCACCCTCTCCATGTCCACCAGATCTGGCCTGCAAGACACACACCAGAGTCATGGTGTTGGCAAACAGCACAAGGTGCCCCAGGCACAGCATCCTGGATGGGCTTCACTGTCCCATCTAAGCCCCTGTCCCAGGCTGGTGGCTCTCCAAAGGGACTGGGCTGAAACATCTCCCCAGCTCATCTCCTTTGGGAAGGGGAGCTTCAGGCTGTCAAGGAAAGCCTCTTGGTCCCCTTGACCAAGCAGCCTGGGCAGAAGCCATCCCCAATGGCCCCAGCTCTGACTCCCTGCCCACACTGAGCAAGCAGAAGGTGTGTAAGGCTGTGCTGCCCCTCAAGGAACCGTGAGAGGTTTAACTGCTGCTTGGGAGAGCTCTGAGATCCTTGGATAAAAGCACGGATGGAAGGGCTGCTATTCATGGAGAGCAAAGGGCATGTAACCACTGCAGCACTCCCAGTTTGAAAGCTTTTCTTTTTTGCCTCTCCCTAACGTCATTAAGATGTTTTTTCTTGAAATCTGATGTATTTGTTGTTCATTCCAAGCATCCACCCCCCAGCTATTTGGCAGAAGAGATGATTCCCGATAAGAGACATCACTCCCTGCAAACCTCACCCACATCTCCAAGCTCTCCAGACCATCACCAACCGCAGTGGTGGGCAGGGACCTCTGGGAGATCCTCATCCCTCCTCCCACCCCCAGGACAGGCTCCACAGCTCCTTCCTGCCTACCTGTATCTGTGGATGAGCGCGTTGAACATCTTCCCATCGCTCCAGCATGATGAGAAGTTGGTGCACTTCACCCCAATGTAACCTGCTGTCACCTTTTGCGTCCACAGAAGCAGCTTCTCCTTGGCTGACATATCCCCCAGCTCCCCACTGATGTAGATGTCGGAGATCTGTAAGGAAGTGGCACAGCCATGGGATGATGCAGGAGTAGGAAAGGCTCCAAAAGGCACATCCAGTTTTTATGAACATGCCTCAGACCTGGCAGCTGTCAGGAAGGGCAGGAGAAAACTCCTAGTCAACACAGCCAACAAATGGGGAATGGACACAGGACCTGCAAGAGAGCTCTGGGGTGATGAGGTGTGGTTTGGGCAGGCTGGAGATCCAGGTAGGCAAGGGAGGCAGAGCCAACCCCATTTCACGGGGACACTTGGTGTTGTTTGGCCGTGCAGCCCAGCCCAGTTGGGACAGAAGGTGCCACCATCAGACCTTGGCTTCCTACAGCCACCAGAGCCATTCCTGCACATCATCCCCATCCCTGTCAGCCAGGGCTCGGGGCACACCTTGCCAGGAACACAATGTTCTGCCCTGTCCTTTGCTGCCTCAAACCTGCTGAGCTGACAGGGCACACCTTGCCAGGAACACAATGTTATGCCCTGTCCTTTGCTGCCTCAAATCTGCTGTGCTGACAGTGATGCTTGTGTGCTCTCCTGCACACCCACTCCTCCTGCCCAGCTCCCACCACAAGGAGCCCAAGCACCCTTGGACACTTGGGGCTCTTGCAGGAATGGTCAACCCCATCCATGGTGGGCAGTGAGGGAGGGCCCAAGAAGAAACCACCGATGCCATCCCTTGCTGGGGCTGCAGGTGTGGGCTGGAGGAGCTCCAGGGCACCTGGAGCATCCTGTTGTCAAAGTTACCAACTCAAGAAGTGAGAAACAGTACCTGGAGAGGAGATTTCTCCCTGACCTCCAACCATGGCACAGAGCCACCAGTTCCATCTCGGGGAGGGGGGAAAGGGAAGGATGGAGGGAAGGATGGAGAGAAGGACGTCACATGCTCCCTGTGCCTCGCTGTGCCTGGTGAGGTGGGTGCCAGGGGGTGCTGGTGGCAGGGGTGCTGTGACCCATTTCCCAACAAAAGACTGACAGATCCCTCTCAGACAGACGCACAGGACGGGCTGCGAATCCCAGACTGGCACGTGATGCCACGCACGTGTCTCCGCATGCCAGCATATCTCTGATTGGCACAGCTTCCTCCTTGCCCTCCTCCCCCTCCAGCTCCCCAATTAGTACAATTACCTCCCCTTAATTAAGGGGCAGACAAAGGGGAGGATGTGAGCTGCTGGGATTTTTCCGGGGTGCCTGTGGAAAGGCAACTCGAGCTGCTCTCTCCCTGGATTCCTCCTCCCGGCTCTGCAGGGAGAAGGTGTGCCAGGACCCAGCCCTTCCCGCTGCCCTGAAAACACCGAGTTGCTTTATTCCTCTCCAAAACACACCCAGTTGGGTGCTGGCATTGCACAGGTCGCAGCTGTCAGACATCCCTTTGCAGGCAGGAGACAGGGACCTGCAGGATTATGGTCTCTCTGGCCGGCGGGGCGGATGCTGCCGGTGTAATTGGTATGCTGCAGCTCACCTCCCTCTCCCGAGCCTGATACGCTGCTCGTCACACATAAAACTGCTCTTTGTCAGCTGCTGCCACACCACCGGCTCTGCCTTTAACTCCTCCAGCCCCGGGGCTGCGTTTCCTTAGGGATGTCGGGAGCCTGGCGGTGGAGCCAGGATGGATAGGGCAATGCACAGGGCGAGCAGCAAGATGGGACCCTCCACGTTTGCAGGCAGCAGGGAGGGACCCACGAGCCTTCACCTGCTCAGCACCCCATTATTAATTACCTGGCAGCTCTTAATTAAGAGCAGAATGGACCCTTCTGCGAACCGGCTGTGCCCCACCTGGGCTCCCCAGCATCGCTGCCCAGCAGGATGCTCCTTGCAGCACCCAGCTCTGATAAATCCTTGATTTTTTGAATCACTGCCACGAGCACTGGGGTTCTCCAGCCCCTGGGCCTTTTCCCTGAGAGCATCCTTGCAGGAGACCCTCCTAGAGATGAGCTTAGGAGGTGCAGGGTGCGGCACCAGCTCCACCCTCCTTTCTTCACATGTCTGTGACAGGACAAAGATTTAGGGAGGCACCAGGGAGAAAAGAGAGCAGAAACTCACAGGACCTGGGACCAAACCCTTCCAAACCTTTCCAACATCAGCCTCATGCATCAAGCAACTGGTGGCAGGATGCTGAAGGCCAGAGGATGGCTGTGACACCGGTCTCAACCTGGCAAAAGTATTGGGGACCACAGCCCTTCAAACCACACACTTGTCCTGAGGCTCCCAGAGCTTTGGCCAAAGCCAAGGGCACCTTCTCCACCCTGTCACCCCCAAAGAGTGAAATCCAAACAGCAACAACAGGTTCCAAAACACAGTATAGTCCCCACTTCTTCCTCTGTTCCAGAGGACTGGTGTGCCACTGGTGACAGCAGCAGCACGGAGACCCTGAGTGACTGCAGCCGCACCCAGCAGCTCTGGTGACTGCCACTCTGTCTGCCCGTGCAGGAGCAGAGGATAGGACAGGTCAGTCCCCAGGGGATGCTTTCCCAGTGGAGATACTGGAGGGGAAAAGGCTTCAGGAGCTTTCTGCACCAGCATCCCCCTGCCTGCACTCAGCACCACGTTGCCCCTCATCAAAATAACCACCCCCAGGGTCCACCAGGACCTGGGGTCCACTGAACCAGGTCCCCCCACCCTGCTCCAAAAAAAAAAAAGGGGCGAGTGCACACACAGACACTGAC